ATAATTACTGAGTGATATTTTAAAATTTCATGTCACCTTAACATCTTTTAATACAAAAACATGGTGGACCACCAGTGGACCACCTCGGCACCCTGACCACCGGGCTTAACAAGTTTTCTGGGGGAAATTATTTATTATTATTATTATTATTATTAATTATTAAATTATTTCACTCTGCCAAAAGTAAGATAGCTCCCAGTTTTGTTTTGAAAGTTTCATTAAGACAGCAATGTGAGGAAGTGAGAAATGTCTTTAAGGAGAGATGGATTCACTGCACTGCATGGTTGAATCTCAGTTGCTGAATCTCTCTTAAGCTACAACTCCTCGGCTGGAAAACATGAATAAAACCTATATAGACATTATGTATATATGCATATAATTATGTGTAGTTTAATACATATTCTTCTACTACAATCGATAGTAGCCACACAGGCACACGTGCTAGAAGGAAACAAGTGTGCTCGGCACAATACTTTCATTCTATTGGCTGAGAGTTTGCTGATTGTGCCAAACAGCCAGTTTCATGTTTCAAGTGAGCAGAGACTTAGGGTCCGTTGACACTGCAGCCTGAAGTGACCCAATTCCGATTTTTTTTGTCAAATCGGATTTTTTTGCCAGGCTGTTCACACTGCCACACATATGCAACCTGTATGTGTTCTGCAGTCTGAACGGGCAAATGACCTGAAAGTGTCCCGCATGTGCAGTAAAGGGTGCAATGGCGTCAGCGTTCTCAGTGTTCTGCCATCCGTCATAAAAAGAAGAAGTGCTCAGGGTTTGCGGAAGTAAACATGGAGGCTAACGGTGGAGCTTATTTGAAGTTGTTGTCCAACCGGAGCAGCATATTAACAACTTAATCCTCATTATAGTCTGTCATAGTTTTTTTCTTCCCGCTTGCGTGTATTAGGACGCAGAATTTGTTGAGTATCAGTGACGTTCAGTTCGGATGAATGCGGCCTGTAAAGTAGGTCGCATTTGAATCGGATACATATCGGATATGGGTCGCATTCGAAAAGAATCCGACCTGTGCTGTTCACACTGTCATAAAAAGATTGGATACAGGTTGCATTACATCAAAAAATCGGAATTGGGTCACTTCAGGCTGCAGTGTGAACGAACCTAAGTGTGATTTTTTGAGTACAAGCGTTGCAAGTTTTGAGAAGAAAGACACAAAGTCCTGCTTTCAAAATATCAATGTAAGCAAAAGTATTAGAAGTTTTGAGAACAAAAGACGTTAAATCCTGCTTTCAAACTGAACATGTGTGCTCTTGGATTATGGTAGAAAAATTCCTCCAGAAATGTGTGACAGTAAAGGTTCAGAGAGGGAGTTTTAATTTTTCCTCTTATCGTCTCTCTCTCTGCATCTTCTCTAATCTCCCCCAGGCTGAGGAGGGTCAGACTGAGCTGAAAATCAAACTAGGAAAAACCTTGGAAAAAAAAAAATCGCTCTCTAATAAAATTCAAAGATGGAAATTTAAAACAAGTTTAATGCAGAAAAAGTTTGGGCATAATTGAAATGTGGAGTTCTGTTGGCCGAGTTTCTGCCATCATATTTCATGCTCTTTACTTTAATAGACCCCAAGGAAGAAGCTAAAGGAGATCTTGATAGAGATTTTTTTTTTACATCAAATTACCACAGAGCAAATTGATTTGTTATATAACACTACCCTGGGTTAACTCTGATGTTTTCCACTGGGCTCAGTTTATTTTTAGCTCTACGTTGGAGAGGTAAAGAGTATTATTATGACTATTATTATTATTATTATTATTATATGTGATTTCTATATCTTTTCTTTCATAAATATTTTGAGCTGTGGTTATAGTTTAAATTCAGCTATGTGAACATAAAGCTCTGCTGATAATTCACAGTTGATGTTAGAAAGAATCTCTCTACCACCAGAGTTATCACTATTTCTGTAGATTATTCCAGACAACCTTTAAGATATTTTTATTGTTTCTTAGATTATAAAAGAGGGGTTGGAATAAAAATAAATAAATAAAAAAAGCTTTAGATGATAATCTTAAATAATGAAGTGAGAATACTCTCAAAATACAACACTGACTAAAATTACCACAATTTCACAGAATTTATGCAACATTTATAACGTATAGATAACAAGCTGCAGAACAGGTATTTAAAAAATCCAGCTTTATCTCCAGAATATGTTAATGTGAGTAGCCTGTGGGCAAAGCAATGCAAAAGTATCAGCTTAAGCTTTGTGAAGGCATAAACGTATGTACATTTTTCAAAATCCTTCTGAAATGTTTTCTGTAAAAACATTTAAATGAATATTTTATTTCAAAAGGACTCCCACATAAAGCAGAAAAGCTTTGCTGCAACTCTGTGGTCCAATTTCCACTGTGTGAAATTCACATTTTTATTTCATCATAGGTTCAAAACCTGAGAAAATATCAAAATATGTGTGAAAGTGAACCTCAGGGTCACTGATGGTTACCCGCAGTGAAAACTAGGTCTGCCAATCTGACCCACAAACCAAATAGCAGGTTTGGTGGAGCGCCTACACTGACTAAAAACAAATTTAATTCAGTTAGAGGTGTGCCGATGGATTGGCCACTGATCATAATCTGCCAATTTCCGTGAAAAAGTGTATTATCGGTGATCGCCGATCACTGTGGCTTGTTGCCAATCACCAAAACTAATCACATTTATCTCACTTCACAGCCTGCCTGTGCAGCTTATCTCCTCTTTCTTCACACTGAGCAAGAGCGCAGCAACAAATCCTGTTGTATGGCGTTACGGAGTGAAAGCTTCTTCAAACAAGATGGAGGCTCTATGTCTTTTACTGAACTTTTCTGTTCAGTTTGTATTGAAGAGAAAAACGGCAACAGCTGATAACGTCAACAGCTGTTCGTAACCTAGCAACCAAAAATCAACAAAGCAAGACAGTGACGAAACAGAACCAGATCCTGTTAAGCATTCTTCAAATTAAAAGACTTCCTCTATTCAAATAAATCATGTCTCCCACTTAAATATATTTCACTTCACCTTTGTAATTATATACAATCATGTTCAATTCAATTAATAATAATCATCATGTAAATTATGTCAATTTACATGATAAGTAAATCAGTCACTGTCGATACTGAACAACTGAACAACATATAAGTGTAAAAAAGTCACAACATGTGGAACTATAAGGCTCTGAGTGAATGGATAAGTTTGCGTGTTGCGGCGGAAAATTACCTCGGGGGTGAAGCACGTCAAAATGCATCAACACAACGAATCTAATATGAAATTTAAAAAACCAGCCCTTGACGGAGTTTGGCTACATCGAGGCTCAATGCAGGAAAAACAGGACTTCCAGAGCGGCCAGATAGCAGGTAAAGCAGCGCACAACTACCAACACTCACCCGGATTAGCATCACGATCAGAAAGCTAACAAATAACCAAAAAATAATTCAAGTCTTCGAGCTAGCGGTGTGAGACGCTGGTTCTGCTCTCGCTCTTGGACCGCCGCTACACGCTACTGGTAGTAATATGTCACAGACAGAAAGCCACTCAACCTCCACCAGACTGAACTCTCACACCAAACGTCTGCTTAAAGCTGCAGCATGTAAATAATAATAAAAAAAAAGATTTTAGATATGTCTATTATGTCTAAATTAGGCTAATTTACTGCCAGATAATTTTTCCATTTTGCCAGCTAATGTTGCAGGTCCCAGGTGGAGGGACAGGCGGGCAGATCCAAATAACCTTTTTTAACAGGAGAAAGAAGTGAGTCACAGGAGATGGTGTTGCTGCGCTGGTAGCTCTCATCCGAATTTATTCCAGGTTCTAATAATCAAGTCATTATACAACTTTGAAAAATTATTGTGACTATACCTTCATACTTCTAATAGCTTTTTCTATAGCACAACTTCAGCTTATTGCTATACTTGGGATTTTTACCTCATAAATTAATATACATTACATACCGCTATTTAAAACATGTCTTCTTTATGCATCTCAGGAAATCCTCTGAGCAACTAACCGGGAGCTTGTAACTAACTGTAATGACAACACAAAATAACACAAACCAAATAAACTGAGGACCAATGTCACGACACTTAGCAGAACAATATTTTTGTAAGGGAGCTTGCTAAATCAATTCAGAAGACAATGAATCCACGAACGTCCGGTCGAACACAGGCCTCCCAAAGCTAACAGGCGCGTGCCTCATACTGACATTCAGACTCGACACCCCACCACATTTATCCCGGCATAAGATGTCCCAAACGTATCTCAATAACATTTACAATCATGTTAATCACGTATTAGCTTTCTGCTCAAACCTGAACTAACCTGTTTTAACAGAAGAAAGAAGTGAGTCACAGGAGACGGTGTTGCTGCGCTGGTAGCTCTCATCCGAATGGAGGAGAGCTTTTTTTTCGACACAGAAATGTTGCACCGTCAGTCCCGTAATGTCCCACTTCTGCCATCTAGCGGCGCATTTATGCTACTGCGTGACATTGATTTACAAATTTTAAAACGGGGTCAAATCCTAAATTAAGATCACAATTAAACCAAACAAATGTGACCACACTTTGTGAGGGTCACAATAACATAGTATAGTTTATGCCTAAAGCGAAAAATTAACAGCCATTCCAGGCAATCGGCAGAGATCAGGAGGATCGGTATCGGAATTGGCAGCAAAAAACCTGATTGGAGCATCCCTAGTTTTAGTTGATTTTTGACTGTTGTCATTTATTTATTTCACCTTCTAAAACTAAATATTAGAAAAACCTCTATCTAAGGACGTGTAAAATCTCTCCTGAATGTGCTGTTGTGTGGATGGATCTGCTGAGGATTTTATGTAGTTTCCAAGGATTATGGCATCAACTTCAGGTGCAGCCCAATCACAGTGGAAACTTTAAGATCTGCTGGGTTTATTTAGGATTAGCTGAAACAAACCTGCATAAATACTAGATGGAAATCTATTTTTCTGTTTATATTTTCATATTTGTTGGTTGACTTTAAAGTTATCTCTCAGTTTTTTAGGCTAATTTTTGTTATGCTTTGTGCTGTTCAGTATTTTGTTAATTATCTGTAAGCTAAATAATTTTCCCTGTTTCTTATAGTTCATTACAAGCTGCTACTTGAACATCCTGGCCAATCAGTGAAGAGTCCCAACTGCATCAAACCTGCCTTAACTGGGATAATTGGTTAATTAAGTTCACAGTGTTTCAAATGGAAATGAAGTTAGGGTTTGGATTTACTGGCTGTTTCTTTTTTATTAGTATTTTCTTGTACCATGTGGTCCACATGAATGGTTTTATTTTTCTGCCTATATGTGACAGATTTTAATAAAATCTGTCACATATAGATTTTATTAAAATCTGTCAAAATAAAATCTGAATTAGTGAGACCCTATGGGTTAACACTAATTCCTGAAGAAGTCAAAATGATATTTACTTAATGTTGCTTCCCAGTCCAAGAAGAAGATTGATTTTGTGTCTGAACTATTTTTTTATTAATTTTAGTAGTATTTTTTGGATCAATATCCTTCTAAAAGATTCAGTGATGATTCATTGTTAGTCAACTGGATTTTTATTTAAAATCTCCCAGTATGTTAAAGACCAAAAAAAAAGCATTTAGTGTTGGAGAACAATGAGAAGAATTTTCTGTTTGTTCATAGAAGCTGCTTTTGGACAATAATTGAAAAAATAAATCACCAGTAATAAAGTATTACTTCAGGGTACAGAATTGGCACAAGTGAGCAAATTGAATTATTTACCAACTTGACTTTATTGATTTTGTTGTGGGGTTATTGCTCCTCTCTAGTAGTCATCTCAGCAGAGATAAACTTTGATCACTGATGGATGTTGTCACTGATTTTGAAATCCAACATGTCCGCTTGGCAGATCATCACACATTAGGTCATTTTGTTAGTCTTGTCTGTGTTCCTATCCAGCACTGTTTTATTAGTGCTGCCTGTTTAGTGACCAGCTTGTTAGAAGGAACGTTAACAGACTTTTCTGTGAAAAGAAAACTAAAGTTAGAAGGAAGAACTAAGTCTTGTATTTTCTTTATATGGTTATGTGAGAATTTGAGTGAACTTTAGTGGATGTAGTTACAGCTTATCTCATAGAGACCTGGCTACGAACGTAGCTGCATTTCTGTTACAAAGGTGCAAAAAACTGTGTTGATATTTCACTAAAATCAAAAAACACAATTTTGTAATTACGGTGTTTTTATTAAAAAAATAAATAAATGCAATTAATATCATTTATGAATAAGTTTGTTCACGCAATGATCATTAAAACACATCCTGGACCATCGTCCTTATACCACTTCCTGTTGTCTTCTTCATTATTTCCTCCAGTAGTAACATCCAGGAGTTGATCACATGACTTGTGTAAAATGAGTGTTTCCATTGCAGTTTTGTGAAATATTCTAATATTAATTCAGCAAAAAAAAAACCCACCTCATCCTTGTACCAAAACTTCTCATCAAAAAACAAGTTTTTATAAATTAACATGTTTCCTGTTAGCAAGTTTATTTTTGAAATATCAAATTATGCAGTTTTAAGGTTAATGCAGCTACTGCAATGAATCACTGTGCACCAAAAAATGCAATGATAATGAAGACTTATGGAAGGTTGATTACTGACATGTTTGTATGATGTTAGCTTTAAATAATTGGTGATATTGGATGAACGTTTTATCATGAAACCTAGAAGAAGCAAATGGAAACCTTATTATCAGACGTAGAGCTGCTGTTATTTATTGCCCACTTGAACTAACTAACAGGGATGTAAGCACTCAGACGTTGGCAGTGACAGGAAGTCATAAAGCAGGTTGGGAAGTCTTTAATCTCATTTCCTCATCAGTAGGACATTGACGTATGCAAGGACTGTGTCATAACTGTTTATGCCCACCCAAAAAACTTCCTGCATCGATCATGTGTCTGCCTTTGGTTCTGTAAACAGAACAAAATGCCATCTAAATACTACATTTAAATCTCATTTTGCTTCTGTCAAGTTTAGTAAAAACATTGTGGTGTTAAATGTGAGGTCTTTGAGGTAAATGTTGGTGTTACAGTAACTTGTGTCAAAAAATAAACTAATATTATCAAAAGACTGAGTCATATGTTAGTTAGATATGAAGGAGAAAGTAAAAAAAAATGCTGCTGATTATTTCAGTTTTCTTCCAAAGAAATGAAGAGTGTTTAATCATCATATAGGTTTAATTTTATTGGAAAGAGACCAAATATCAACCAAAGTCCCAAACAAATGGCTGATATAAACGTAGATCTGAATGCTGCTGTGCTGAGTGAAATATACTTTGGTTTCCCACTGGAAACGTGAAGGATTTCTCAGGTTGGTTGTGTAACATCCTGATAAGAGGACTGAGATAATCATGATCAAGACGTCATAACAGATCTGCATTAAAAGTTCAGATTGTCTTTCCAATGTGTTGAATTCCTCGCTGACTACAGTTTCCCCAAAACACCACATACGTAGCCGCTCCGTAGAAGGCGGGGCTTGTTGCTCTAAGGCCTGAATGAGACATCGTCTCCTCTGATTGGCTGAGAAATGAGGAGTGCTAGCACCACTATGGTTGATTTATGAATTTAACTGTTTAATTGTGACCAAACTAATTGACATGTGATTTTAATAGATTTAATATTTATAATGTAAACACCCCACCTGAGTTTTTTTGGCTAGCAGAGTATAGTCAAAGTTTTGCACACATTAGTAATTGAAACACAGCTATTGAAGCACAGAGCTGAAACATTATAACCTTGTGCTGTTCTTCTTTGAGTCACGGTTCTGAAAGGTTTGGTGGAAGGAGCTGTTCACCAGGAAATAGAATGAGAACTTTCTGACCTCAGCCACAACAATAAAGATGGAAGAAATGCTCCTTCTTTGCTGCCAGCAACAAACGTTGGGGTTTAAGTAGAAGCGCCTTGAAACCACTGAAAATAAACCACTACAGCCCACTGCTGACTGGCTTGGTCCACAAACCAGTCAGCAGCTTTTTACCACATCATTACTTCACTTAAACAAATTGTCTAAGGAAACATTGAACATCATTCAGATCTTTCTGCAGATATTTAATCCTGACTGTGTCATGTTCTACATTTCTGCAGAGCATTACAGAGCAGGGAGACATTTTAACCACATCACTCATCTCAGTAGTGCTATTGAGATGACACTATGTTTTTTAAGAAATTGATATTAAAATCTCAGATCCAAGCAGCAGTCGTCTGCAGTTCATTAACCCATCTATAACTCAGTGGCTGCCTGGTGATATTTAAGCAAACAGCTGAAAATGAGACAGTGAGCTCATGTTATTCCCCTGCTAATCTGACCTTTATTAATGTTGAATCTTAGGGTTTATCTCAGATTAGGCAGATTAATTACAAAGCTAAATGAGGAGTTTTAAGCATGGCGATATTTAGATTGGTTGCTTCAGCCTCTGGTGAAGGTGGTCATTTGCTCTGATTCATTCAGGACTGAGATGGTTCCAGTTTTCTGGTGCCAGAGTGTTTGGAATGGTGAAAACAAACGGAAATGGCACCAGACTTGCACTGACTACAGTTTAACTCTGGAACCAGATTGGTTCAAAGGTTTTTGATCTGTTAAGAGAGACAACGCTTTGCCAAGTTAAAGAAACATAACAGATTTAGAGTCTATAGAGACGAGTCGACCAAGATTCCTATGGAAATGTGTAAACCTGGTTTACACATTTCCATAGGAGCTCCTTCAGGACACCGGGCACAAAGAAATAACTGATTATTGATTCTCTCATTAAATAAACAGTAGAGAAAACAGTAACAATAATAACCCTCAAAATACAGACAGCTTAGTTTTTATTTTTTTAAAAAACATTATTATATGGAATTTATAATGACAGCGATAAATCAAAATCCTTGTGACAGAAACTGATCATGATAAATGATAAACAACACAATCTCCTCTGTTAATATATTCCAATATTTTGGATCTTCTGGAGCAGTGAAGATTCATCCAGACCCAAACCAAATTGATGCTGCACCAGTTTCAAACTACAATAAATCCATGAAGGTTATCAGCATGTCGGAGTGAAGGGAAATCTAATAGGATGTGTTTTTCTCATTCCAGAGTTAATGGAGTTAAACTCCATAGGAAAAAGGGGGCTCTGACCTGAGAGCTGAGGAGGGGCCTTTAACTGGGCCACAAACCAGTGGCGACCTGCCAGCAGCCACTAATAGAGCCATAAAGCAATTACCAGGAAACACAAGCAGAGATGGATGGGGAGTAAGGGAGAGATGGATTATGGGACAAATAAAAAGGAGAATGGATGAGAGCAGTGATTGTGAGGGAAAACGGCAAAACTTATGAGGACTGCAGGAGAACCGATGGAGAAAAATAGGATTTGTGCCATTTGATATCACCATGAGCCGATGAAGAGTTGGATCAGATAACACTGACTGCCCAGCTCCACTCTGAGTCTGATTTATGCTTGTGTTTTCCATGTTGTCATCCCAAATATCTGTTGTTTATTTCCCAGTGAAACATGGAAGCAAAAGTTGCTAAAAAGTTAGGGAAAAAAACGTACGTATACAGATAACTGCAGATAAAAACGGATAACTGCAGATAAATTCCCCTGCAAAAATATTCAAATGTATTTATTTAGAGCTTTTTCACATTTTTGTAACACAAACACATTTCAGTGTTCTTTATTGTAATTTTTTGTGACAGACCAAGACAAAGTAGTCCGTAAATGTTCTAATTAAAAGAAACATTTGAAATTCAGGGAGGCTTTCAAATTTCTTGTAAATAGAAACCAGAAAACTGGTTTGCATTTGTATCAAATCCACTGAGTGAATACTTTGTAGAACTTTCTTTGCTGCAAGATTTCTGCTTAGGGATGCACAAAATATTAGTCATTGTTTAACATAGCTGCACTGGTCTGCTTTGTAAAACATATCAGTTCATCTTCACTTTGCTGTATGTCACTTTGAGTAGCCAGAGTTCAGATTAGATGAATATTATTATAGTAATATTATTCTAAACCTTGTAATCTGTGCTGCAAAAAAATAATTTGGACTTCTTATTATTTGGACTTGGAATATGGTTTAGTTGGATTTGAAGTCATTCCCAGGTCTGAGTTATAACCCTACAGCAGGGTATAAGGGTCATTGTACATAGAAAATAACAAAAGGAAGAGAACAAATTCTGCCAAAGAACTTAGAAATCTTTAAATTAAAAATAAAAAAAAATGTCTAGAAAAAAATGTAAACATTTTTGAGTTTCAGAATCACAAATTTTGGCAAATGTTCAACCTTTCAAACTGAGAAATTTCCACTTTTTTCTAGAAAATTTTTGATTCATCTCAAAATTTTAGATTTTTTTGGTGGCAAACTACAGGCACCACTTCTTATGGCTTTCTTTTAACAAAGTCACTCTTCAGACCACATGGGAGGAAAATTAAAGGACAATTAGTCGTCTTGGAAGTAGATTTTTCCTCCTGATCTCTAGAAATCTCCAGCTCCTCCAGAGTTTATCTTTGATGTCTGGGCAACTCGGGTCTTCATAGGATTACTCTCATAAAATTACAAACAAGATGACTTTTATTTATTGGATGACTGGTTGTTTTATTTTTGGGCATTAGGGTAAAAGAGTCTGAAAACAAATGCACAAAACACTTCATATATTGTCTTTATATTTATCATTTCTTTCCATTTCATATTAAATTGCAGCTAATTTCTCATCTTTGTTAATTTTCTTGAATGTCAAAATAAACGCAGATCCTTAAATACAAAGAATACTGGATTATGTAACAGTTTGAAGTGATTTGACATGATCTGCATGTTCTTGAAAGAGGATTGCTGGAAGTAAGGCAGGAAGGGAGCAGATGGCTTGATAAGTTGGACATGTTTATGTGTGTTTATGCTGGGCTTGTGTGGGCGAAGTCTGGATGTCTTTGTGTGAGCTCTATACTGCATGGGCATGTGTGTGGGTGGCTGTTTGTGTCTGTTGAGGTCTTTATTTTTACATTTCTGCAGGGTAGCTGTGGAAGAGGGAAAATGTTAACTGGAAGAAAAAAAGCCTATTTTGATCAAATTCCTTGCTTTTCTGTGAAAATAATAAGTTGAATTTTTTTACTCAGGCGTAACAATGAGGTGACCCACATTAAGATCCAGAACTCTGGGGACTACTATGACCTGTACGGCGGTGAGAAGTTTGCCACGCTAGCCGAGCTGGTGCAGTATTACACTGAACAGCAGGACCTGCTGCGCGAGAGGAACGGCCATGTCATCGAGCTGAAATATCCACTCAACTGCAAGGATCCCACCTCTGAGAGGTAAACATCGCTATCCAGACAGCACAAGAACAGCAACAGGACAAATCCACCTGATTTCACCTGTTACAAAAACCGAGAGTGCCCACAAGACAACTAGACTCATCGTCTAAACATGAAGCAACTTTTATCACTGGAGAACCTTAAAACCAAATCAGTTTGAAATGGTTATGAACAAAACTCACATCAGAGCAGTATAAAACTCAATGTTCTTGTTCTGTTCTGAAGAGTATTCACAAAGAGTGAAATCAGTGGCTTACACAGATCATCCAGACAAACATTTTCAGAGGAAACTGTGACCATGAGAAGGTGAGCTTCCAGCTGCAGAGAAGGCTGCAGGAGCACAGGCTCATCACATATCCTGCTGGTAAAATAAACTGGAACAGTCTTGATATTTACAGGACAAAGGTCCTCTCAGTATCCAGGGAGCTCATCCCAATTCCAGTTCCCAGTCTGTGAACCAGAGGTTTAAATAATAAAATAAAATAAAAACTGCTGCTGCTCCCCTTAAGGCTTAATGTCAGACAAATATGGGACAAAAACAAACTCCTGAAAACCACAATGAAAAGAGAAGAGACTGAAGATTTCAATAAGCTTATTACTCTTATGGTTTTCTTCTGTAAAATATTTTTATTTTTAGTATTGGCCTCAACAAACCCACTTCAGCAATATTACCACAGCTTTTAGTGACAAAATGAGCAACATTTTTAACCCTTTCTGCTGTACAGAAAGTACAACAAAATTTGTTACAGTGCAGACCATCCAAAAAACTAAAAACGGCTAACAAACATGAGACCTGCCTGGGTAGACAGGAGCCTGACCCTTGAAGTGACAGTGAAGCTCAAAAATGGACTGTTTACAAAATGTTATAATGTTATTCTCTCATCAAAAAACAAACATGTTGCTTTGATTCTTTCATGCATGTTTGAGAAATCCTTTAATCTCCATTCAGCTGTGGAAAATGCCGGGTTGAACCGAAGCTCCTCCTTTGAGCTGCAGCTTCTCAGCTTCAGCCTATCAGAGCAGCTCCTCCCACTCAGATCCTTCAGACTAGCCAGCAGCAATTAGCAAACAGCTAGTGGAACTGCTGAGCTCATTATAGGAGCTACTGCTCAGAGCTGCTGGTAAAAATGGTGTTAAAGGGTCTAGTAGAAGAGCCATGGGATGACTTCCTGGAGGTGGAGCTTCTTAAAGAGACAGAAGTCTAATTTCAAGATGTTAAATTACGATGGAAATTTCCTTTAAGTCATATTTGATATGTTTATCATTTTTATTATAACTGTAGTTAACATAGTTAATTGATTGTGCTATAAAACGGCACTATGTGCCTGGAAAACGCATAATACTGTCCCTTTAAGTAGATGGACAGAAGATAGATAACCTATCTCTTTTCAACAAAACAGCAAAGCGTAGAAAAAGATGATGGTTTTTAAAAGCCCACTTTAAACGTTCACTCTCACTTCACCTGCCAGGCACACATTAGACTGAATTTATGACATTCAAACAGGACAAATGATGCATAACAACATTCTCATCACATAAACATGATGCCACTTCAAGTCAGTTTATTTATACATCGCCCATTCAGATCATAGGTTGTCCTAATGTGGATAGATGAGTAAACTGGCTCCATAGTCTGCTTAGAGTTGAAGTGAGAATGAGGCAAAGCAGCGGTCCTGGAAACATCTCCAGCTTAATGTTACCGCCTCACTGCTGATCCACTCGGAGCCATCAGAACAAGCAATAATATTGAATTACTGGCCCACTGCCGCATCACTTAGCAAAGTGTTCAATGGACTGACGGTAGGTGAGCAATCCACATTAACTCGCTAATTAGGTACCAGCGCACCTACATGCTTACACAGATTGAGGAGAAGATGCTCTGAATAAATACTTCCACTCATGAAATTTATATGCACACAGCATCCACAAGGATAAATTACTATGTATTCCCAAAGGCATGTTTGGGTTAACTCACTGGTTGACGTCTATGCTTTTGCAAATATACACACAATTACGTATTTCAGAAAATATTTATGTTCTGAATGCAGAATCTGGCCTTACTCTGCAAACCGTGGTTCTCCTAAAAAACTGGATGCAAATGTTTTTTATTTCTGCACATCTGCTCTGCACTGAGTGTGTGTCTTAATCTGTCCAGGTGTAAGAGCTGCTTCTGATTTACTGTTCATGTGGTTTTTCCATTCTGGGTGCTTTTCTTGCTGGCACTTCCTTTACGTTCTGGCTCATCATCACACAGGAAACAAAATGCCGACATGCGAGTATTTCATCTGAAAATCAGGTGAAGTGAGCCTGCAGCCATATAAGAGATGCTATCACTCTGGAGTGGGAGTCTACATGCAGCGCACATATATATTTAAATTATGTTAAAGCCGTGAATTACAGGAAACTTACTTCAGTCCGCCCCCTCTGATGGAAAAGTTAATCTCACTTATCCATCTTGTTGATTTATCTACCTTGCACTCACATCCACCCTGAGATACTCAGACACAAAGAGTCTGAGCAGGACTCCTCTACAGTCCTAGGTAGAGGAGTAGAAGGTGAATAAAGGCATCTGAAGGAGAAATACTCCCTTGGTATTTCTGTCTGCTGTCGTAGTGATTAATCTTTTATTTTGAACTTTAGCTTGAGTCTGCAAACAGAGAGAAGTTAGTATAACAATATGTCTGCTTTAAAAGGGTGAAACTCTGGTGTCCATATTTAATAAGCGTGTGGCTGCAAGTCATAAACCAGGGGCGTCCAGACATGCCTCTGTCATTGTGTCCTTGTGTCCTTGTGTCCTTGGGCAAGACACTTCACCCGCCTTGCCTGCTGGTGGGGTCAGAGGTCACGGTGACACCAGTGCATGGCAGCCTCTTATCACGGGTGTTTTATGCCATTAAAGATTGATTCTCTGTTCGTACAACTACTTGTAAACAAGTGGTTCAGAAAGACGCTTGTTTATCGATCTCCAGGTGGTACCATGGACACCTCTCTGGGAGAGATGCAGAGAAACTCCTCACAGAAAAAGGCAAAGCCGGCAGCTTTCTGGTCCGGGAGAGTCAGAGTAAACCCGGAGACTTTGTCCTGTCGGTTCTCACCAACGAGGAGAAGCATGACAACGTCGACCGCAAAACCAAAGTCACACATGTTATGATTCGCTTCCAGGTGAGATTGCTCGTTTTGGACGCATATCATGCCTTTAAGAAGGATTTTGATTGGTTGGTTTGATCATTGTTGGGGCTTGGAACCCGTTGATAACTGCTTGCAGTTATAGTTCCTTTCTAATTGTAAACGTTTTCGTTCTGCAGGAAGGCAAGTATGATGTGGGAGGTGGTGAACGGTTTGACACGTTGGCCGATCTGGTGGATCACTACAAGAAGAACCCTATGGTGGAAAAAAGCGGCATTGTAGTGCATCTCAAACAGGTGACAAAGACACAGTTAGGGAAATATGCAACTAAGAATATTCTCTGGTAATTGTTTTATAGCTCACCATCTGGTTTGTAGTAGCCAGTTTAAAATGTTTGTGTTTTTGTGGGACTATGGCAGCCTTTTAACGCCACGAGGATAAACGCTGCCAACATCGAGAACCGGGTACGAGAACTCAACAAAGTAGCAGACAACTCAGAGAAGCCAAAACAAGGATTCTGGGAGGAGTTTGAGGTGTGTGCAGCACGGCCATTTATATTATTCCAGTTTCATCGTAATGTCATGTTAAAGTGTAACTAAAACCCTGTGGAAGCAAAATGCCCGGTCAAAAAGCAGAACCAAACAAATTGACATGAAAATGCCAAATGTAAACATAAAGCTAGAACTCAAGTATTTAGACAGTTTATGAGCAAAAAAGTTGATTGGTGTGCTGTCATTTCTATTACAACCCTAATTATCCAAGTAACTTTTAATTCCCTCCAGCATTGAAATAAAGGGGAAAATAATTTTTTATAAGCAGTTCAAGAGAGTCTGAGAGTCTATAAATAAAACAACCTAGTTTCTTTCATATTGGAAAAGTACCATGTTTACCTTTTGTTTGAAATATTTTTGTCATGAAATGCCCAGTGTGGATGTGAATCTGTGTTAAAGTGAAGGCTTTTGCACAGTGAATGTTATCACACACCAAGTTGTTAGATGTTTCCCTCTGACTTCTCTCCATGGTGACCTCTGCTGTAATAAAAGCTCATTACACTGTTTTACACCCAGCGTTACTCAAAGTATTCCAGTTACATAAATGTCTTTGGAAATGTCAGTATTGTTTTTTGCTCTACTCTTCCTGGAACTGTTTTATGTGGCGATAACCCAGTGAAATCCCCATGTTGTCTATCTTATGTTGTTCTTTTGTTGTTCTTTAGTTTTTCTCTCCATCTCTTTTAAAGGTACTTCAGCAGCAAGAGTGCAAACTGCTGTATCCCCGGAAAGAGGGCCAGAAGCCAGAAAACAAGAGTAAAAACAGATACAAGAACATCCTCCCCTGTGAGTTGCACAGCAACCTGCTATTTCCTGTCTCTCCAACTTCCTGTGGAAAGAGTGACACAGACGACAGAGCATAGAGATAGAGTTTTAATAGCCTGAACCTATCAGCTGCATTATGTCTGCATGGTTTCAGGACTGACTGCTCCTTCAGGCATTAATTGGTTGAACTTTGTTTGCAGTCGACACAACGCGAGTTGTGATTAGAGACTCTGAATCAGACGCTCCGGGTTCGGATTACATCAACGCTAACTATATCAGAGTGAGTGTGTGTGACCAGGAAGGACTTCCTCCACACGCTTTGGATGTTAAATATATTTCTAGACATTTAATATTACATAATTAATATTCACTTTGTGATAGAAAAGGTTCATGTGTAATAGTTCTTGTTGTCCAACCATGCAGAACGTGAGTGAAGATGGGCGCCATGTGGAGGAGAGTAAAGTCTTCATTGCTACCCAAGGCTGCCTCCAGAACACGGTGAACGACTTCTGGAAGATGGTGTATCAGGAGAATGCTCACGTCATTGTCATGACAACCAAGGAGATGGAGCGGGGAAGGGTGAGCCACCTCCACGTCACTCATGCTTACTCCGGTCCTCGTCATGAAACAAGATGAGTTCTTCTGATGCACTTTAACCCTTCAGCAGACTGGTAAAGGGTTAAATTACTGCTTGGTGCTGCATTGGTCATGGTGGGACCAGATCAAAAGTTAATACCTGGATCAATACTTAATCTCATATTAACCAAAAAACATAACAACCAATATTTTCAATTCAAAAACCCTTTTGCTGCTAAATCATTGAATAAACATATGAGGTTAGCAACAGATTTTTATTGTTTTTCTTTTTGTTTAGGTTATTCATCCTTCTGATGGTGCAAATGTCATTAGACTCATTCAGATTTAAAGTGTTTCAGGAACCACTGATCATCCAGTGAACTTCTCTAAAAAAGCAATCCTCAGAATGTGAACTGTGGACGCTGACATTAGCGTTGGGGACGTCTGCACTGCTGCAACACGTTTAGCACTGAGATGCTATTTTACACCTGAATAGCTTCACTGATACACAGTAGCAGTACAGTAGTTTTTTCCAGCATCAGATTGTTTCTAAAAGCAAAAATTACCCTCAGAGAGGTGACTTTATCATCTCTCTGTGCTGTTTGCCAATGTTGCTTGTGCATCAGAGTTACTCGTGTAAAAGAAACACCACAGAAAGGTTCCGGCTTGGGGAAAAAAAATACTTAATTGCGGTAACATGTTTAACTCATTGAAATCTATTAAATGATCTACTTATATTTAACGCTTGAAAGTCCTGGCCCTATAAATTAGTATTTTTTCTTAAATAATGAAAGAAACTAGACAAGATGGTTCTTTAGAGTTTCTCCTGTACATTTTTGAGCCTTTATTAAAGGTACACTGCAGTCATCAGTTGTACTTAGGGTCTACTTTTTAAAGGGCATCATCATAATGTTTTGAATCAAATTGTGCTGTTAAGAATTTGATCTGTGCACATGACCAGATGTTTGTACTGCTGATACCACCATCACCTGATGTTCTATTTTGAAAAAGTAGAAATGAAAAAGTTACAAAGGTAAAGAAAGGCATATTTGTTGTAGGTTCCTAAATAATGAAGCCATAAGCTTGACGCTCTTCGTCCTTCCCCTTCGGTCAACTTGATGACGAAAACGACAAAAAACCAAACTGGGTCCTCTTGATAAAGGTTAACAGTTTACTTCAAAAATAAACAAAACGGTACAAATGTTACTTTTCCACAAAAATAATAGAGTAAACAAAAGAGAGTCTTATGCAAGAGAGAGAGAGAGGGAGAGGTCAAAAAACTGTGTGGCTCCACTCCAACTGCCCAACTAATTCTCTCTAGCCACACCCTCAAATCCTTAACTGCAATTACATATGCAAATCTACAAGAAGGCCTTAGTATATGTAGTCCAATATAACAAATTAGTTTATCCAAATAAACAAATTACCATAAGAAATATAAACATAATTTATCCTAAAGGTCTGAATGAACTAAAATTAAATTTAGGCTTCTACAATTGTGATGATAATTCATGTCAAAGTTCTGGCTGCTGACAGCATGAGATATCAGTTGCAGTCGGTTAACAAATTGTCTCTGTCTCCGTCACACATCTTTGAGTTGTTTCTTCTCTTCAAGCCAAAGTTCTGGTTGTCTTATACTCCAAAATTTGTCTTGAGAGGAAAATTAGATTTTTAAGGTGAGGAGAAATCGATGATCTTCCCATATTTACTTTTCTGAAGCTCAGCCACATTTCTTGCAGAGATGGTTTTGGGTGAAAGTAGGAGTTCTCACTCCTTCCAATAAGGAATCTGACCAGAAAGCCTTCTCTTGTAAAAAAGAAAACTAAAAGCAGAAGACCACATATCAGTGCCTTTCTGTTTTAACATGTTTACAAAAACAAGCCAATCATGAATCGTTTCTATCATCACTTTCAAATTGTTTCAGCTGTGTGATAATCTAATATCATCCTTTTTTATGAGTCATCACTGGAAAGCAGTGAGTGCTTTAGCAAGTGAGTATCAGGATGATGTACATGTGTCAGTGTGGTGGACAGGGACAGGACTAGAAGGGGATAGCATGACAGATAAGCTTCCCGAAAAGCTGCTTGAGCTGAGCCATTTCTTCAGACTGTCTAATTCCAGTCTCTCTCTCTATTTCTCTCTCTCACTACCTTCATATTCCTATCAGAACAAATGCGTCCGGTACTGGCCGGACCTCAACGGCACTAAAGAGTTTGGGAAAGTCCTGGTGAGGAATGTGGAAGAGCAGCCGGCGCAGGACTACATCCTGAGGAAGCTGGAAGTGACACGCCTGGACAGGGTAAGGACGGCTGACCTCTGACCTGGAGTCAAATTACCAAGCCAACAGTTTGAGCTTCAGCTTACACGACTCATCTGGTTGACTGGCAGATGGAGCAATAAGTGGAAAAAACACAACAAAGTTACAACTTGTGTCAGGAATACACCACGTTCCAAATTATTATGCAAATGATATTTTCTCTGATTTCTTAAATGGTCAATGCAAATGATGGTCAGTATAATTTTCAAATTTTACAGAACAAAGCACCCAATGAGAACAGTATTTTTTTTTTCAAAAATAAAAAACCTCAAAATACATTGTTCCAAATTATTATGCACAGCAGATTTTCTAAACATTTTATGGATTATAAAGAACTGCAAACGGTAATTCTTTCTGAATGTGCAGCATTAAGTGGGCACAGGTACTAAAATCAAAAACTATTTCAGTGTAAAACATTTTAACAGACCGAGTTACATGTTAACATAGGACCCCTTCTTTGATATCACCTGCACAATTCTTGCATCCATTGAACTTGTGAGTTTGTGGATAGTTTCTGCTTGAATTTCTTTGCAGTATGTCAGAATACCTTCCCAGAACTGCTGTTTTGATATGAACTGCATCCCACCTTCAGATCTTCTGCTGGAGGAAACTCCAGAGGTTCTCAATAGGTCAGAGGTCAGAGGAGGATGGTGACCACACCATGAGTTTCTCCCCTTTTAAACAGCCAATGACACAGTGATATTTCTTGCAGCATGCATTGTCATGCATGAATATGATTTTGCTACTG